GATTTTGTTGAATCTGACGTGACATGTTCGTACGAACCCTTTGTACGAACAAAAGTAAGAGAAATTTAGGAGAAAAATACGAACATGTTTTTGCATGAGGCCCATTGTTCTCTGTAGATATGGGAGGATGAGTAATTATTGATTCAAGTTCTGGTGTGGAACTGTTCCTTAAGTTTCTGCTACAAAGAGGCTGTCTCTAAGGAACTCTTGGAACAACTGACACCACCATACAATTCCCTTACCTAAAACTAACCACACAGATACATGTCTAACCATACTCCTTACTTAAAACTGAACAACAAACAGTGATTGAAAATGCTCGATCACCTCTTAGCCTCCTCTTAGACTTTGGGACAACCAACAGAAAGTGATCTGCTGACCTGAGGACACTAGAGGGAGTGTAAGGTTGGAGTAGGTCATAAAAGATACATTGGGGCGAGACCATGAAGACATTTAAAAGCAAACAGTAAAATTTTTTAAATAATTTGGAAACGAACTGGGAGTGAATGTAATGATTCTGAAACAGGAGTGATGGGATCTTGTTTTCTGGTACCAGTTAAAAGGCAAGCGGCAGCGTTCAGAACTAGGTGAAGTCGAGTCAGTAACGACTGGCTCAGCCCGACAAAGTGCATTGCATAAGTCTAAGCGAGTTGTGATAAAAACATGGATCAAAATCTCAAAATGATGATGTGAAAGAAATGGCTTAACCTTGGCCAGTTGTCTCAGATGATAAAAGCTGGACTTGATCACAGATTTAATCTGAAAATCTAGTTTAAAATCATTGTCCAGTTTAACACCCAGGTTAGTTGCTGTCTTGGTCAGATGTTGTGCTAAAGGACAGAGATCAACTCGGACTTTAGAGATGTCACTGGACTTAAACAACATGACCTCTGTCTTTTGTTCATTAAAATGTAAAAAATTTAGCGATATCCATGCTCTTACTACTGCAAAACATTCCAGGAGTTGGTTCACTGAATATTGATTTTCCGGTTTGTGAAATAAATGTGGGTGTCATCAGCWTAAAAATGGAATGAGACACCATGTTTCTGGAGAATAGATCCTAGTGGGAGTAGATAAATGGAAAAGAGAAGAGGGTCAAGTATAGAGGTATCAATTGGTTGTGAACAACTTTTTCCAGGATCTTAGACAAAAAGGGGAGCTTTGAGATACATGCCTAACCCCAACCCCTTACTTAAAACTAACCCAACAGGTACATGCCTAACAATAACCCCTTACCTAAAACCAACCACACATATACATGTCTAACCTTAACCCCTTACCTAAAACTAACCATACAGATACATGTTTAATCATAACCCCTTAGTTAGAACTAACCAAACAGGTACATGCCTAACCTCAACCCCTTATTAAAGCTAAACACACAGATACAAGCCTAATAACAACCCCTTACCTAAAACCAACCACACATATACATGCCTGACCTTAATCACACTGGTTAACTCATATAAAGTAATCCTTCTTAAAGAAACTTAAACCAAACAAACCATTATTACACCAAAACAGAGGCTTAAAATACCCAGCCTCTTTAAATTTCAGACCTCAAAATAGCCACAAATACTATTTAAAACAAGGGAATAACTATTACAAAAACAGGGCCCAAACATTAAAACAATCCCCACCAAACCACAAAACAATCCACCAATCCTAGTCCTCCACCGTAATAAATAATGCCCCCTACCAAACGGCAAAGCATCATGGGTCACTTACATAACACAGCACCATGAAAGAGAGTACTACCACAGTTAGACTAGTCCCCCATCTGGCAGACCAAGAACAATTCTGTTTGTTAGTTACATCCTAGGGTCGCTCACTGATGTTATCAGCTCATTATTCTGAGCATGGAACCACAGGTTGCTTTAACAAGTGGGTCTGCCGGGCTTGGTACTGGCTCTGATACTACCTCTGCTCGTGGCTCAGAGGAACATTACTCATCCTACTGCCTCTGTGTTTCTTCTGAAAGCTCGGAGGAACACGCATCAGTCCTGGACTGAGCTGTCTTATGAATGAGACTTTCCTCTGTCCCTACGAAGCACAGTACATGATAAGAACTCAATGTATCAGTTGAGCTCTACTCAAAGAGTTGCCTACACTCAGCAGAATATGCCAGCCACATTCCACTACATCTTACAGCACATACACTTGTCTCTCTATACGTTTGTGGATTTTGCATAAACTCTCATTAATTTCTAWGGCCTAACCCTGACCAGTCACCCTAAACCTAACTTTACAGGTACATACCAACCCTAACTTAGTTCATAATCAGAAGTCTATTAAGTACTTGAAATATATTACTACGTAAAAATAAAATTACATGAACAGAAAATGACTGTTAGCAAAAATTTATTAGTAAAAGTAAAGTACTTTTACACACTCTGTAAGAAATAAACTGTTGAATTTACTGAACCAAACTGGTTCCACTAAGCCAGGTTGAGTAAATTGAGCAATATATGTATATTTGCTCAATTTACTCAACTAGGCTTGGTGGAGCCGGATGACATGACTTTGTTGAGTAAACTCAACACTTCATTTTTTAGAGCAGAAACATCTTTCATGATGAGTTTCAATATATTCATTTTTTAAACGAGTAACTAGGTGTTACATTTTAAAGTAAAGAAGTAAAAGAATTGTTTTTAGATTTAAAATGTAATGAAATTAAAGTAAAAGTAGCTATTTAAAAAGTAATTGATAAAACTACAAATCCTCAAATAAACTACTTAAGTACTGAATATACTTAGTTACTATAAACCTCTGTAAGCTCTAAACCTAACCCCTGACCCACAAAAGGAGTTTTCCCATTGTGTGAACCAGACAAATATCTACACAATAAAATGTCTTCATGAGCAAAATATGTTCACATACCAATACAAAAACATGTGTACACACACAAGGAGCAGACTGATGCCCAAAGATGGGTCACATAGAGCTGTAAGAAGGCAAAGAAGTGAAAGGAGAGTAAAGAAAGAGTTCCTCCTGCTGAGTCAACATTATTATCTCTCTCCAACTGTTTTAACCGCTGTCACTCAACACTTCACAAGGGCTTTGACATGCACGCAACATCACGGTTGTAATACTAAAACCAGCAGAATGTGAGTCACTTGTTGCTGTAGAAACAACTTCGGGGCTGAGGCCTTAGGGCAGCATGGCTGTTTGTTGAAAGTGAAGAGCAGATACATGCTGTGCATTGTAACACAAGTTACACAATCAGTGTGTGCGTTTGAGTGTGTGTATGTGACTAGGCGTTGGCTAAGTATCAAACCACTGTTAGCTACCAATAAAACTTTCCAAAACACAGAAAATTATTATAAACAAACAACAAAACAGCACACAGTTACTCAAACAGTAAGGGTTTAAAATGTATAAAGCACAAATTTACAATAAATTTATGTTTTAACAATTCACTCTATGTTCATGCTTACAGTATCTAAACCATTCCTCTGTAGATTTTTTTTGATTGATTAAACTTGGACAATCATCTTGCAGCTCATTGAAATTTGCCACAAACATCTCTTCAGGTAAATTAGATAAACCAGTGTAAATTCACTTTTTAAACTAAACATACTCAAACTGCTAACATTTAGAAAACAACCTAAAGCCATAATGTATAAAACAATTGTATGACACTGTAATGATGTAAAGTGATACTATACCTGCAATCAATCAGCCAGTTTTCAATTTGGTTGGGTTTTTGCCCTGTCGAAAACAAACACAAGCATATTAAAGCAATCTTCCAGCAGATGCTCTGCACTGATTACAACATGCAATAAAAACATTACGCAGATGCCAGAGTTCATTACATGTTTCAACATCCTGGATGATCACAGTCACCATGAATTCCTTTAGCTCAAGTAAATAGGCTTAAAACATTTCTAAATTATTGTTTTTAAATATATTGCCTTGAATGTGTGATAGTTTGCTCAGACACTTGCCAACCCTGAGTGTTATAAGATTTATTTTTTCCTCCACTACAAAGCAGATAAAAGACTTGTATTTCTTTGTAACAGGGGTCACCACACTTTGAGACTAGGAGCTACTTCAGGGGTACTGAGCTTGGTGCTCACTCATATTTTCCTTCACTCATTGAACACATTTATCTAGAGGGGTGTCAGGTCATCTAACGCC